GAATTAAAGGACAAAGAGACTATGATAACAAAAATGAGAGGGTTACTTGATACGTACGACAAGTGTTTTGCCGTCGCCAAGAACCACTTTGGTGACAAATACACGGTTCGTGGTGCTGGCTGCAACAGCTAGCATCCACGGTGCTAAGCTCGTGGTCGAGGCAATATTCGGACCAGTGTTACCAGCCGCGTTCACAGTGAGGATCCCTTTGGACATAGCGTGAAAAGCTCCAATTGCGATCGGGTCTTTCCCGAACGGATACACATTAATATCACCTATAGAGATGGTTATGATGTCAACACCGTCGGCAATGGCGTCATCAAACGCAGCCAGTATTTTGTCATCTCTACATTCTCCGGCGCAGACTCTGTAAGCCGCGATTCTAGCTGCTGGAACCGCACCTCTCACCGTTCCTTTGGCGATCCCAAAGAAGCTGGTGTTCGCGACTGCGTTCCCAGCCGCAATAGACGCCGTGTGTGTACCGTGGCCACTAGAGTCCCTAGCATCTCCGGGTGTGTAGTGTCTTGCTCCAATCAGTTTGCTGTAAAATGACTAACATATCAAAAAAGGCAAGAGGCTTTGATTCAACCCCTAAAGTCAAAGCTTCTGGCTCACGTAGAGTTGCCTAGACTATACTTAGGCCTCGAAAGGTGATACTTACATTTACGTTTACATGTGAAAAAAGAAACTCAAAGAAACAAAAAAATTACACTAGTGAATATCAAATATTTTCATATTGTCGATGTGTTTTCCTTTTTATTTGCATTTGGCATTTACGTTCAACAAATGAAATTTGTCTAAAAGTGTTAAAAAAAAAAGTTTGAGCTCATTGGGAACTGATGCACTAATACAAAAGGTATGTAAAGTTTGTAAACGCAAATTTTATTTACCTATATGTGAAATAATATATTGTATTTTTTTACACTAGAAAATATTTTATTTCATTTTTTTGGTCAAAAGAAAATATTTTATTTAAAAGATTTAATTTACACTACCGTTTACCAATTGGCATTAAATTTTATTTACTTCTATGTGAAATAATATGAAAAGATGATTTGTATGTTTAGGCTATCCACGATGCAAATATACTTTGCAAACAAGGTGAAGTTTGATCAACTTCCAACATATATTTACAAAGTTTTAAAGAGAGAGAAATTAAATTTACTTGTTACATGTGAAGTTTTGACCGCCGGCACAAATGCCCTTCCATTTCTTTGGAGGAGGACCAAAGCCTTTGTCGGAAAAGCTTTCGGATTCCGGCCAAATTCCACCGTCTAATACTCCAATAATTGTATCACTCTCCATAGGCAGATTCCGCTTCGTTCTTTTTCCTTCCTTTAGCCCCATGAAATCCCAAGACGCCGTCGTTTGGAGTTTTAGTTTCTTGTTCGGGAACACAGACACAACTCCTTCCATTTCTAAAATAACATAAAAAAATTGTTCTAATTAGTTACCCTTTTAACCAATTTCTACATAAAATGTGTCTCGGTCGAAGAACACTTAATTACCGGCTACTCGTTCTCGTTCTGACTCGGTGAGTCGGGCCGCGAAACCGTTGAAACTCCTCTTGTAACTTCTCACCAAACGACTTCCGATCAAACTAGAGTATATACAACTTGTTAGAATCTACATATATAATATAACAGTATAAATCTTTTATTAATACGAGTCATGATTAGAGAATAAATTAATTAAATCACACCTTTCTCCAGTGACCTCTTGAAGAATACTCATGTGGTGGGACATTGGTGTGTAGTCCACTTGTGAAGGAAGTGAACCCATGTAGACTATATACACCTTCATCAATAATCATCAACACTACATATTATCATGTATAATGGTAGAAAAAAGAGATTTTGATAAGTATTG